GACATAAGAATAGCCAATGTTCACACCTGACCTAGTTAATCTATATAATAGGAATATCTTTAAAACATCTCTGTACATTTATATCGTTCAAGATGAAAAATGTCGTCTTATGCGCAATCTATCTTTATCTATGCATATGATACATTTGTATATGATTGGGGCGGTAATATTAACTTCATTTTCTAGATTTGAAAATTAAAAAAGGAACTGATGATTCGAATCAAATTCTATAATTTATAATTTTATAATCTCCTAATCGTTACAACCTGATATTTGATATTTCAAACTACAAGTTCTGCTAAGTACTAGATCAAAAAGTTAATATTAAATGTGTTCACAACCAGAGGTGTGAAATATCCAAGGGCGTACACAGAAATAAATCTAACAGGGGGGGGGGGGCAAAATTTGAACTGTAAATTCAAAACATTTGGCTTCTTGGATACTTTTAAAGGTACACATACAAATTACCTTGCAAATACTACTTTATCTCTCCTGCAAACAAAACTAGCAAAAAAACAGTAAGCTAACTTTTTTATGCTCTTCACTCTTCAGTTTCAGATTTCAACGTGTTATGTATGGCACTACATGATCTATACCTATAACACCATAGAGAAGAGAATATATATTAGAGAGGAATTTATAGAATCTCTCGGTATGAATTTTTTCAATCCCTTTCAGCCTGAAAGGGAGTTCAAAGTGTACAAATCATGTAAATGTTCACAAATTATGTGAATACTCCCGAGATTTATAACACAAAAGTTCTGTCTTTATGTAACAAAGGGATTAGAAATAAAAGTTCATTCAAGATGAAAACGGAAAATTGTGATTATTGTCTCCATTTGTTTTCAAAAACCATCCTTCGACCCAGAACTGTTCGTTCAAAATCTAGTTTTAGTTCGGTTCCGCTACTTTTACGTCGCCACCATCAGTACGAATCTGCAGCACAAGAATCAGAAAAATAAAAATAAAAAGATGAAAATAATTGAAGTTTGTAAAATTTAAACTCGTTTGTGTCCTGCATACCTTTTTTGTCCTGTATTTCTGTTTTATACTTTATCTCTGTTTTTCTTATATATCTGTTTTGTCCTCTTTACTGTTTGGACCTTAATTTCTGTTTTTCTTGTATAAATCTGTTTTGTCGTGTATTTCTCATTAATCCTTTATCTCTGATTTTGACATGTATCTCTGTTTATGTAATGTATCTCTTTTTTATCCTCTATCTCTGTTTTGTCCTGTATCTATGTTTTTCATGTATCTGGTTTTTATCATCTATCACTGTTTTGTCCTAAATTTCTGTTTTGTCCTGTATATTTGTTTGTTCTGTATCTCAGTTTTGTCTTATATCAGGTTTTTGGCCTGTATCTTGTTTGTTTCCTGTATATCGTTTTTGTCCTGAATCTCTGTTTTGATCTGTTTTATACTGTTTCTCTGTTTTCTCCTTAAACTTGTTTTTGTCCTGCATTTCTGTTTTGTCCTTTATCTCTGGTCTGGTCTTATTTTGTGCTTTCACCTTGTACCTGTGGTTTCTGTTGAATTCCTGTTTGAACCTGGATAAAAAGTTGAATAGAATCTAAATTGTTTAGTATTGACCAGTTTAGCTCCAGGCTAGCACTATTATATTGATAATAAAGGTGATGAAGTATATAGGTCGGATTCATCCTCTTTATCCAACCTTTATTTATTCTTTTTTAACCATTCTATTGGCTCTTAATATTTAATTTTTCTGTAAAAAATTCATCCGCAAATTTGTATCCTTCTCTTTTCTTTTCTAATCCTTCATTTTTCTTTCCTAGCAGATATTTCTCCCCTCATATTATCCATCTCTACTAGAAGATATTCCTCCCATTATATTATCCTTCTCTACTAGGAGATATTCCTCCCGTCCTATAATCCATCTTTACCAGAAGATATTCCTCCCATCATATTATCCATCTCTACTAGAAGATATTCCTCCCATTATATTATCCATCTTTACTAGAAAATGCTCCTCCCATCATGTTATCCATCTCTACTAGAAGATATTCCTCCCATCATATTATCCATCTCTGCTAGAAGATATTCCTCCCATCATATTATCCATCTCTGCTAGAAGATATTCCCCCATCATATTATCCATCTCTACTAGAAGATATTCCTCCCATTATATTATCCATCTTTACTAGAAGATGCTCCTCCCATCATATTTTACATCAAATGAAATTCAAGGTTACCCAGGCCGCGCATCTCTTATTGGTGATGTGCCTGAATTCAGGCATACCGCCACCAATCTTTGACCTCTGGCAAAATTGTGTGTGATACTGGTATCCTGCCGCTAAACCATACTTGCAGGGTGCTCATCTTCTTTCCTACATATACAGTGTACTCGTCCTCATTCATATATGAACAGGGTGTTCATATACAGTTATACTTATCCTCATCCATATATTAATAGTGTGCTAATATTCATCCATAAATAATCAGGGTACTCATCTTTATACATAGATATACATGGTGCTCATTATCATCCACACGTAAATATACAGGGTACTCATCCTCATCCATATATTAATTGTGTGCTCATCTTTATCTATATATAAACAGTGTACTCATCTTTAAATTGAATATACATGGTACTCATCCTCATTAAGCTTTATATAAGGTGTTCATTCTTATCTATCCACATACAGGGTACTCATCCTCATCCATTCTTATTCTTCAGGGCCCGGCGTTGCCCGTGGAAAAAAAATGTTTTTTGAAGAAAAATAAGCGAATCTTAAAGGAAAGCAAAAATCGAATTTCGTATAGCCTATGTCACCCCCAGGCTACCCATGGGTTCCCTCAAAATAAATCAGCCCGTTAGGTCCAGCCGTTTGACCGGATATATAGGGAACATATACACGAATGTCTTGTTTTATTGTATAAAAGATACATGTCAATCACTAATCAATAATCATCGTCCATTTATATAAAGGTTACTCATCCTTATCTTCATAGAATATATCTCCATATATTTATATGGATATGGAGTTCATCCTACATTGATAAATAAGGTGCTCATTTAAACGAAAGATCTCTAAAATAACAGATGTCCTCTCTTTCCTTACTTTTATTTATTTTTTCTTATAATGCGTAAACGGGATGGTTTACTTATAAACCCGTAATTACAGGATGGTTAGGATGAATAGAAATATTAAATCTATCAAATCGAAATACCGGCAGTAATAATGAGATGTATGATGACTGTAGAGAGAAGGATGAGAAGGATGAGGATGCATGATGAGTTTAAGATAGATACTAGATGAAACACGATTAAACTCTCTCCTGATCAAATCTGTCGTATAGCTAAGTAAATTCAACCCTTGGAAAAGGAATTTAACCAGGCAGGGGTAATTATTTGAAGCTGATCGAGTAACTCCAGATCTAAAACATGATATCCGTCCCGGAGCAAGGACAACCTTGAAGGTTTAAGACTGAGTTTTCATTATCTTGTAATGAGAGAAGGTTGAAATAATCAGATAAATCTCCTGTATTAGAGAATGATTTATCACGAAAGGAGTTTACACGGAATGAGTTCTAGCGTAACAAAGAATACTTTTATTTGTTTTTGGTTCATTAATCCTAACTTTAAATCATTTTACCAAGAACTTCAAATATATCATATAAATACAACTCTGATACTACTAGTCCAGAACAAGATTAAAACCAAAATATAGAAAAAAAGAACAACGAGATATTTACAAAGTTTGATAGAGTAGGACAGGTTTGTAACGCAAGATACGGTAAACCTTTATCCATATTTTTTAGGATAAGATAAGAGATGAGTTTACATTAGAATAAAGAAATTGAGTCTTTGCCACAAACTAAAATTTTCTAATCCCTATATATTTGCAACCTGATTGTGTAATCCTTGGATATTTTAAAATTAGACAATTTGATCTCACAGAGATCATATTTTGAAGTGTCAAACCTCTGCAACATCGGGTTGCAAAGATATAGGGACATAGAGAATAGAATATATATTAGAGGGGAATTTAAAGAATCTCTTGGTATGAATTTTTTCAGTCCCTTTCAGCCTGAAAGGGAGTTCAAAGTGTACAAATCATGTAAATGTTCACAAATTATATGCAGTAGAGTACATTAATACAGTATGTTCCCTAGACTATTCATTTCAATTTCGAATTTTTTAAACTGTTAAATAAACTTTATAATGAATTAGGTGAATAAAAACATCATTTGATTTATAATTATAACGGAAAATCATCGTTTGTAAAGTGGAAGGCATAGAGTCTATGTGAAATGATCATTGGTCAATTATGAAACCAGCCTATTTCATAATTTGGTTTTCTTTTAATATTAATTTTAGATTTTCTATAAAATGATATTCCAGGGCCCAAAAGATTATATAGCATAAATATGTGAAGTACACCTGCAGTATGGAAACAGTACAACAAAATGGCCGTTTTACACTTTTTTCTAGTAAGTTCCCATCTAATATATATTCTATTCTCTATGTATAGGGATTAATGATTTTGACTTTAAATAAAGATGAATTCTATTAGACAGTGGTAGGTTAGACCGTACCAGAATGGCTATGGATGAATTTAACTAATGATTAGTTAAAACAAGGATGAATGAGTTTATTTAAGGATTATTTAAGACAGGAATGACCATTAATGAGTTATTCTAAGTATTACTTAAGACAGGGCCGATGACCATAGATGAGTAAATTCAAGGATTAGTGAAGATAGAGAAGACCATGGATGAGTGGAACAAAAAGTAAATTCTTCTCTGTATTATGTGTTTTTGCTTACGAAACTTCTGAAGCATGAAGAAGTTAAAAACCTTAACTCTCTTCTTATCCCTAGCGGACTGGATAAACATCTAAAGATGCAACTTTTTTGATTGGTTTAAATCAGATATTCCACTTCAGGTTATTCAAAGATATCAAAATTATCAGATAAAAAAATCACGAAATATGTTTTGTGGCAAAGTTTTTGGTACATCTTCTTTGTTCACCTCTATCATTGGTTCAAGAATATCCAGGTTGTATATTCACTGTTTAGTTCTATCTTAGGTTCAAGTATATCCATGTTGTATTCATTATTCAGTTCTATCTTAGGTTCAAGTATATTCATGTTGTATTCATTGTTCAGTTCTATCTTAGGTTCAAGTATATTCAGGTTGTATTCACTGTTCAGTTCTATCTTAGGTTCAAGTATATTCATGTTGTATTCACTGTTCAGTTCTATCTTAGGTTCAAGTATATTCATGTTGTATTCACTGTTCAGTTCTATCTTAGGTTCAAGTATATCCATGTTGTATTCATTATTCAGTTCTATCTTAGGTTCAAGTATATTCATGTTGTATTCATTATTTAGTTCTATCTTAGATTCAAGTATATCCAGTTTCATGTTGTATTCATTGTTCAGTTCCATCTTAGATTCAAGTATATCCATGTTGTATTCATTGTTCAGATCTATCTTAGGTTCAAGTATATCCATCTTGTATTCATTTTTCAGTTCTATTTGAGGTTAAAATATATCCATGTTGTATTCACTGTTCAGTTCCATCTTAGATTCAAGTATATCCAGGTTGTATTCATCGTTCAGTTCTATGTTAAGTTCAAGTATATCCATGCTGTATTCATTGTTCAGTTCTATTTGAGGTTAAAATACATCCATGTTATGTTTATTGTTCTGTTCTATCCTAGGTTCAGGTATTTCCAGGTTGTGTTCGTTTATAGTTCTAATAAGCTCCAGGTTCCTCTATCCTTGGTACCGGTAGCTTATTAAATTTTATCACCTCTAATGATGGCATAGGTTGGAGGAATCCTCAGAGGAAAACAATTAGTATAGTTTACAGTCCTGGATATTGTTGGAACAAGATCTAAATTGAATATTCTGCACTAACAGACCTACACTGGAGGAACGAAGAACATGTGTATCCTCCACCCTCGTTAATTATCCCTGTGATCCAGGTCTGACAGGGAACTGCTGCGGGACGGAGCTCCCCGCCCTTGTTTCCATATTTCTGATGTTTCCTCAGATTAGATTTCAATCAACTGTACCTGGAGATGTCCAAAACCGGCAGGAGCATTCACAACCTTAATCATCCCACGTCAATACAACTAGACTCGGAACCAAGGAGAAACCAGAAAATAGATCAGTTTATAGAAACAAACCTTCTACCCAACCTGTCAATCAGATATTTGGAAATCCAATCCCAGCATGTTGTTTGAGAGGTCAAGCAGTGCTTCTTGATAACGTTATCTGATTCTAATGGTTTCCTAGTATATTTATTACTATCCTAGATTAGAACAAGTGAGTTTATGATCCCTGGACAATCTAATGATTGATGATTTTAATTCTAATCTGGAAACAGATTATTAGATTGTATATCTGAGTGCTCTCCCTGCTGTAGATTTTACACCAAATATTACTAAATAAATTTGGCTTGTCTGTCTGTCTGTCTGTTTGTTTGTATCCAATAAACGTCAAAACGGCTGAACCGATCGGGCCCAAATTTTTTGTGGGACATCACGTGACCGCAAGAAAGGTTTATGAATGATAAAAAAATGTGTTTTAAAGGTTTTTAATTTTGTAAAAAAAATTAAATTCTTGAAAATCCGCGAATTTTTTTAAAAATCCGCAAAATTTTTTTCTTTTTTCTTCTCTGTTTTAAAATGCAAACAAAAAGAACATGTTCACTATTTAACTAGAAGATGGGCGCGAAGCGCCCGTAAAGCCTAGTATTACTAAATTATCATAAAGGGAGAGGTTGCAAAGGAATTGAGTCTTTGGAACAAAATCAAATATTTAAATCACAATATCTTTAAAGAACTCGATGTTGTAAACCTTTGATATTTCAAACTCAGAATATTTGATCTAACAGAATTCATAGTTTGAAATATCTAAGGTATGCAACATTTGGTTCCAAAGATATAGTGATAAGAAAATCTCGAGTTTGTGGCAAAAACTCAATTCCTTTGGAAAGATGAAAGTAGTTTGATTAAAGTATATTGCATTGTTTTTTGTCAATCTGATGTTTCAAAAAATTTCAAATACTCCGTTCCTTTCCCCAGGAAAGGTTTATAAATGCTCAGAATTTCGAGTATTTGTCTCCAACAAATTTAGATTTCGTAAAATTTTGAAAATCTACGAAAAAATTTAATGAAATCCGCGAACTTTTTGTTATTGTTTTATACTGTACAAAGAGAAAATGCTCACACATAGAGCACCGTTTAAAGTTGATAAAGGAAGATGGGCACGAAGCGCCCTGAAAGCCTAGTAGATATATATTTGCTATGTGTTGCTGGTTTCTTTGTTTGCATAAATAAAAAAACAACATCAAAAGGCTGAAACGATTGAGCCACAATTTTTGTTGGACCTCATTTTCGGTTTTTTTTTACAAATAATATAAATTCTAACTCTTTCTTTCCAAACCACTCTTTGGATTAATCAAATCTTGTTTTTCCTTTTCGTTTCGTCCCTGAGAAGTTGTCATTACACCCTGATATATCCTTCCCTATAGTTCCTCTAGAGCTAGTTGCGTGCTGAACTGACCTTTCCTGGATAGTGGAGCGATAATATACTCATGATAAGTAGTTCTAAGCCTTGTTAGGAGGAGGTTCCTAGATTACTTCAACTAATTCAAAACTAGAACAAGAAACTTCAAGTTTTTCAACTCTGAATAGAAACAGACAATTGTATGGAGGTTATCCCAGTGATCTGTAGAGAGAGGGGTTTACCTTGAATTGTGTTTGAAGGCAAAGTATGGAGGGATTTAGCTATCACAGCTGTAAACTATTTGTCCAACGAGAAATAACATTATTCAAGTAAAAACTGTGAACATGGAAACTTTAGTCAATACATTGGATTGATTTTCAGATGTCGTTTTTGCTAGAACGGCTCAAGTTTATAATAGTAGACGTTTAGTTTATCAATGCTTGAAGAGTTTTCTGAATCTGCACTGCTTTTAAAATCTTACAAAATGTTTGGAGGACTTAAAACGTTTATCTGATCAATAATGTTGAAGATATTGTCGTTTTTCTAGGTTTAAAAGTGTTTAGTTCTAATATTTCCTATTAATATTTTCCTGCACTAGAAATGCGCAAGTCACTTTTGTAGAGAAACCACAGTTGAAAATAATTAGTTTTCAGAATTATAAATATTGATATCTAATACTTGATCGAACACTGTTGTGAATCAGGCATTGTCAACTTTAAATTACGCTTACAATCCCTTTAAATTTTGTATTCTAAATGGATCAAAAAATCATTATGGGACATATTTCAGTTGCTCCATTCCATCCCCTCCCTTTCTCTTAACTTTCATTTACTTATAAACAAAAAGGCTAGGTTAAGATAACTTAGAGGCGGAGCGCTGCGGCCACTTTTAGAGCTAATGCTAAAAAGTTATTCAATCTTTAATGTGGTATTTTCGGAAAGGAATTGAGTCTTTGCCACAAACTCTGGTTTTTAAATCCCTATCTCTTAACAACCTAACGTTGTAGACCTTTGATATTTCAAACTTTGACTTCTGTTATATCAAATAATCAAAGTTTAAAATATATAAGGTTTACATAGTTTGGTTGTAGATATATAGGTATTAGAAAATTGGGATTTGTTGCAAAGACTCAATTCCTTTTCATGTTTATTGGTATGACCTGTATAGTGTATATTGTATACTACTACTACTGGTGGTGAGTAGAGATGATATCTAGTCTGATCCTGAACTATAATTAATGAAGAAGAAGTATACTTGAAATCCTTGATATTTTCTTTATCAGATACTGCCGGTATAGTTAATCAATGTCAGGGCTGGATCCAGCTTGTTATATATTGTGAGATGGGAATTTTATCCCCCCTTTTCTAGAGAGTGAACTGTATCCTCTCTACTCTATACCTTCTAGAGATTGAACTGCATCTCTCTTCTACTCTATAAAGTAAAGTGCACCAAATCTACTCTTCCCTGCAAGTTTAGATACCTTCTAGAGAGTGAACTGTATTCTCTCTACTCTATACCTTCTAGAGAATAAACTGTATCCTCTCAACTCTATACCTTCTAGAGAGTGAACTGTATTCTCTCTATTCTACACCCTCTAGAGAGTGAGCTGTATCCTCTCTACCCTATACCTTCTAGAGAGTGAACTGTATTCTCTCTTCTACTCTATAAAGTAAAGTGCACCAAATCTACTCTTCCCTGCAAGTTTAGATGCATCATTTCTTTATAATATGCAGTATATCCTCGGATCCTTTATTATATTCCGTAAACTCAAGATTAGAATCTTCAAGTCAGGGTTTCCTGGTATGATTCCAGTTGCCTCTCAATCTAGTTTGATGATAAGGAGAATATATCTCTACCCCCTGGAGCCTAAACTCTATCTAACTAAATCTACCAAGCCAATATAAACCTGAGCAAGGTTTGATAAGCTTGCTACCAAATCATCCCTAAACTAGCCTAAGCACTCTGCTAATAGGGTTAAGAATGTACACGACCCAGTGTATGCAGTAGGCCAGTTAATAATGTATCTGAATATTTAATGAGCAGGCGGAACCAATATCTGATCAAACGAGTTTCATCTCTTTGTGAACCTATATGGAGCGGATAGAACGAGATACTGCAGAATTATCCCATAAAACATAAGTGCTGGAGAACATTAAAGAGAGCTATACAGAGAACTAGTTACACACTATATAGTGCCAGAGTGTTTTATATTGAATAAAATGTTTTATTTCAAACATTCCATCCAATCGTTATCATTATTAGTCTGGAGTAAGGATGTCTCAGAAGGACACAAGGTTCTGATGGTATCAGTTCTATCAGCTGACCCAGTTTCTCATCAGGTTTTCATCTTTATGGATCCTCCTGTCATTATCTGAACCTGGTTCTGGGATGGGTTCCTCCTGGTTACTCCACCCTTAAAATTTACAAGGAACTAAAACCAAACTTTCTTTTCCTCCGGGTTTAGGGTTCATCCCAAGGATGATAACGTACAACAATGTACATCAAGTGTACCAACACTGTACAGTGTACATCTTCATGTACATATATAGCATGCAGGTTTGTAATTAATATAGTTGATCTGCGAGCACTAGGTGGTATTATCTTCAACACGCAAGGTTTAAGACAGGAATACTTTCACGTACGGATGAAATTCTGAACCAGGATGTAAATTAGACGTCTGTCTCATTTAGAGACTAAACTTAGTCTCCTACACGTCCAGCGGGGGACAACCATGATACCTTGAGACTTGATTAAGTACCCCGACCCCGCCCTTCTCTTGACACAGTTCATGTTCAATAATTAAATGTAAAATCATATTACTGTCTTTAATCATTCCTACAGATTCATTAAAACCTTGGACCAAATCAATTTGTTTATGTTTTCTAACTAAATTATATTCGAAATTTTTCATAGATTGACAATTTTCATCCGTCGTGCCTTTTCTAACCAGATTATGATTAAAAGCTGATGCTGTGGTAACTGACCTAGAGGAAACT